TTATGGATGAGATGATTCGTTGGATTGTTGCTGTCAGAGTTTCTCGTACGATCAATGCCATTTTGTTGTCAATTTTTAAGTTGGCTCATTCTCATAATAATCATTCACTGTGCATGTGCCTTGAAATATTATAAAGACTAAGGGCGGCGAGACTCCAGGCAACTTTGAAACGAATCTCTATAGCATGATCGTTTGTTTATCTATACATTCTTAATTCCTCTTTATACTTATCTTTATTCGACTGTGAATAAAGTAAGGTGAATGTGACACGTATTATAGTGTATAATGTGCAGTTTTAATAGAATTTAGTCTCACGTATTCGTACTAATCATAATTGCATCAATATGGAAATGCTCTTCGATCGACGATTTTCTTCTCTAAATAAGGTAATGATAATTATTTGCGAAACAAAAACAAAAACAAAAACAAATTCGTGATCTGATACACCGTTAACATAAATCCTTATATTTTGTTTGAAACTGTTCGTCAAACTATTATCGCTTAAGATTTTGAAGGTGCATTTTTCAAGTAGTATTATCATTTTTCTTATAACGGTAATTGATATTATTTACATCATAAGTCTATGAACATAATAAAATTGTTCTAAAATTTCATTCAGCATTAGAGTCAAAATTTTCTTTTTGTAAATCTCACGAATATTATTCAAATCATCATTAATTAAAGTCGCATTCGATATATTCGGAAATGTCATCGATGACGTCAGTACGAACAACTTTATAATATAAAAAGCCACTTTATTATGTGCATCGCCTTGCTTTATTAATCTTACGCCTAATTCTCGTCTCGTCATTTATAAAATTTTACGACGTTCAATGAATTATTGATATTTCTTAGCCATGCGTCGTATTCTGCTAAAGAATAGTCAGTGATTATTTCTTTTTTTTTCATCGAAACTACTTGTACAAAGCTATTAATAAAACTTTTATATCGTGGCATTTAAGTATATCTACTTTAACTCAATCTCTAATTAATTTTTTTCCATTCTAAGATTTATTCCACTATTGTCTATTAATTTCTATTATTTCACTTTAATTTATTATAATTTTATTACTAAGTAATAATGATTAAAATCGAAATACTAGAGAAAGAAGTGGTGAATGTCGGAACGTTAGCGATAAAAAATCAAGCATGTAAATTATTTAATTGGACAAGAAAAAAAAAAATATACATACATAGTAGATTTTTTCATCAAATGTATGTTACAATTTGATGTAAATATCGACTATAAATAATTTAATATATCGTGCCGTCACATATAATTGCATAGTACGGTTTTATATTAAGTTGTAAATTGAAAATCCAATTCTTCATTGCACTGTATTTCATATATTGTAATTTGTAAATCAAGATTTATTCGACAGAAATCTCCATTTTTATAAAAGAAAATTAAATTCTTGGTTTTATTTCTATTAGGTATTTAGCTGATGGAACGAACATGTTATAAAAAATATAAAATTTTCTTTCCAAAGAGATAGAAAAGTGAATTTAAGAAATATTTATAATTAGTAAAATATATATAATTAAATTTTTCTACCATCATAAACGATTTTAATATTAAAACAATTAGTATTTCTAATATATTGAGTAATTCAATCTGTTATATTATTAAATTATGATTAAAAAAAAACTTAATGACAAGTATAATTGCTGATACAAAGATTTATTTGCAAAGAAACTACAACTTCGTTATTCTAATCGAAAATTATTTTACCGGTGTTTCGTGTAAGATTGTCAACCAATCTTTTAGTATATAATTTAAACTATATAATAAACTTTGCAAAAATGCACGCAAATTGGTCAACAGACAAAAAAATAGGCATTTGAATGGCTTTAGTTACAGTAACCAATTGTTATTACGCGGCATTGTTAAATATATCGTATAAATTGTATAAATAGTGTAATTAAAAATTTTTTTCCATTTACAAGTCATACAAGCTCAACCATCTCGTATTTAAAATATCTTTGTGAACCTGAAACGTCCATAATGACGAAGAATAGTTTCACTCATCCGTTTCAAAGGATTTTCACCGTTGAATTTTATTTCAACATCGCGCTTATATATGATACATGTTAATGAATATAATAGTAATAAATTTTAAAAAATTTATTAATTTATTAATCTCTATGTAAAAAATCGAAATATTCGTCTACTGTATAGTTATTGGGTGTATCCAGTTTTACCAGATGAATCGAATATTTATGAATTCATCGGACGTACGTACTTCAACTACTGTTTTCTCAAGTAAGTCTTTGCTCTTAAGTCACATGACATGTAATAATTTTCTAATTACTCAAGCCTGCATTGTGTATAGTGCTTTGTAGATTAAACGAAGGTTTATGTTTATCAATCTGTTTACGTATATTTTTCTAGTTATAAAATTATTCTAAATAAAAATCATATTCTTGAGTATTTTTGATTATACGCCGATATTGACTTTTTTAAATATATCGTTTAAACAAAGTAAGAGTAAATAGTTGCTTAGCATTTTAGAAAATACTATTTAGCCATTAACAATATATTTAATAATCGATCAAATATTTGAAAATATTTACTCGCACATTCCCGTAATTTTATATAACAATTTGTGGCATATAAAAATATTATTTCCTTATAAAGTCATTTTATTCACAAAAACTAAATATAAAAATCTTCGTGTAATTTAAAGTGAACATTTTTGTTTCTTATTATGCAAGTTCTTTGTGTTATTTAAAAATATGTAAACATGGATATAATATACCAATCTTAATGTTTATTTATTTATTTTTTTTTTTTTAAACTATTTCTAAAATTTTTTGAAAAATTGATCGTTTTGAAAACTAACATAATAGACTAATATTAAATAATTAATTCGATGAAATATAAATGGTAATTGGAATGCAATTTAAGACGTTATTCATAAACTGTTCAATTTTATTTTTAAATTATTTATTTTTCTATTAAATAATATTTATATTACTCTTCTACGTGTTTTTAAAAATAATTTTAAAGTCATACAGATTTATAACTATATGTACAACATAAATTGTTATAATATATTAATTATCCTATTTATTAATTGTATCATAATTTTTTACATTTAAAGATAAAATGAATTAAATTTAGTCTATTTTTTAAATTTAAACTCTTGTAATTTATCATTTTTCATATCATTATTTCATTTTCACAAATTTATATGCGAATCATTATTTTTTGAACATTACGATTGAAATTGAAGAATGTTTTGAATCTAAATATTAATTATTCTAAAAATTAAATTCTGTAATCGAAAGAAATTGCAATCTAATTGACTTACATAACTCATGATTGTTACGCACATTTTAATAAACTAAGTTAGTTCGTATTTAAAGAATTTTTTTTTATGCTTTGCTGCAACGAATTCATGAGCACATAAATGTAGCTACGGATACTTATATTCGCAATATTTTTTATTTATTGAACATCATTTAAGTCCTGATTTTTGTTTATAAAATAATAATAATAATAATAATAATAATAATAATAATAATAATAATAATAATAATAATAATAATAATAGTAGTAGTAGTAGTAGTAGTAGTAAAGCATTTTAATCAAAGATTTTAATTATCGCAGATTAAATTCTTACAATAAATATACATATTTTTAATTAGAAAATTAGAATTCGTTAGTGAAAACATTTACTGGGTTATCAAATATTCTTTAATTTTTGGTTTTGTTTTTAAAACAACTGGGGTTTCTATTTCTATCGCGTAAATACAATTAATTTATGTCAATACAAATTATGATAACCAATCACATTTTCTTTCAATTTCTACTCTTACAATGTACTAAAATCGAATTTTCTCTAGACAAGATATTACGTATAATAATTCATATTAAAACAATAAATAAATGTAATACAATTAATTTATTTATGACATATTTATAATATATTCATATGAATATCATAACGAGAACTGCTAGAAACATAATCACTAACGTCTGTGGAATAATAGGTTTAACTTTTATGACTTCAACTTCTCGCGTTTCTTGATTTACGCGGTGATAATGATCATATTCTTTGTAATTTTTAATTTTTAATTTCTTACATTTTATTTTTAAATTGCACCGTAATTTTACGGCTATTAGGATTATCATTCAACTTAATATGTTATTTTCAATAACGTTAATCTATATTATTAGAAAAAATTTTAAAAAAATTCTAATTAATGGAAAACAATTTATAATGTTAAATATTTTACATTTTTAATTTACGTAAAATTTATATGATAATTTAAATTTTTAACTTCAGTTTTATATGTCTCTTTTATGATACAGTATAATTGATGAATATCATTTCACTTTAACGAATGCAATTACAGTAAGTAATTTAACAAGTTAAATTAAACTAATTAAGTAATTTAATTATTTGTAGTAATTTAACTATCAAGTATGAACTTTAGAACTTGAAAATAAATATGTAAACTTTAATTAAACTTGAAATAATCTACATAATTATTGATATATTTTTATTTCATGACAGATACTGTGTAGAAAATATAAGAAATCGTAAAAGAAAAAAAAAATTTATTTAAGTAAATTGTCGCGTTAACGATGGAAGCTTTAAATAAATATAAATTTAATTTATTTACCGGTATTAACAGTAATTATAGATATTCAATTTTCATAGACTCATACCGTTGTAGCGCAATAATCGTCACATTCGGAATTTATCAAAATATATTACTATTAAAATCTTTGATTATACAAATTTTAGCCCACTTAATTTGTATTAGCCGTGTTAAAGTGAGATCTCTTTGAAATTTATAAAAATTATAGAAACAAGAAAACAAAACAAAAACAAAAAAAAAACAAAAAAAAAACAAAAAAAAAACAAAAAAAAAACAAAACAAACCAAAAAATGTGCGTAACAATACATCGGATCTCCTCGTACAAACCGGAAATCAATAATCCATGTGCTTTCTTTTGTGAATACTAACCCTGCGATGGACTTTTGCAGACAAACAGTATTTACGACTACAAAGAGCACTACCAGCAACAGCAACAAGAGATGCAGCAATACGGTTATCCATTACCGAGCAATAGCTCCAGCCAATTAACGCTTCCTCTCACTCGCAACCTATACCATTCCTCGTCAATGGTCAGTCCTCTGCAGGATTCTTACATCCATGCTAACAGTCGCCATTCTCTCAACACTGCCAATTTTACCTCATCCAATTACCTCCATCAGCAGCAACAGCCACATTACGTCCAGGATCACGCCACAGCCAATACCCTGCCCTTCTCCCTCCTACAACAGCCGGGAAATCTCATTGACGTACCTGACCTCACATACGACCGTCAACAACAGTATCAGCAGCAGCAGCAGCAGCAGCAGCAGCAACAACAACAACAACAACAGCAACAGCAACAGCAACAACAACAATCTCGGAGAAACTCGAATTCGAGCTCGAGAAGTCGCAACGAAAGGCGAAAGTATCGCAATAAGCACGAGCGCAATGAAAGAAAGCAAAAACAGCAGCAACAGCGCCAGCTGCTGCAGCAGAGCATGACGTCATCCTGCGAGACGAGCTTCGAGCGCGTT